GGTCCCATGGGTTTTTTTGCCATCCCTATTCCTAATCCTAATCTTTTCTCTATTATTAATCCCACTTCTCAAGATCATTTTGCATCTCCTGCTAATTCTTTGTCACAAGTATCATCTCCCCCTAATGTTCCTACTTATCACCATATTTCTTCATCCTCATCACCGTCTTCATCTAACACCACCATATCTCCCACCATATCACCTAGCTCCACAAGCCATAATTCTGCTAGCTCACCCATTTCTACAGCTCACCCTATTCCACCATTCCCATATCTCCCTTTATCAAACTCACCAATTGCAACAACTCTTTATCAAACTCAGCACACCACCCTCCCCGTACCACTACTAATACCAATGTGCATCCAATGGTAACGCGTTTGAAGGTTGGGATTTTTAGGCCAAGGTTGTGGTTAGTGAAGACCTTTAATGCTAGTTCCTTTCAACATATAGAACCATCCAATTATATGGTGGCACTAGCCGATCCAACATGGTATAAAGCTATGGTTGATGAGTATCAGACGCTGATTTAAAATGGAACCTGTTCTTTGGTCCCTATGCCTCCATCTGCCAAACTTGTTGGCTCCAAATGGATTTTTTGTATTACATTAAAATCCTCAGGCGAAATTGATCGCTTTAAAGCGCTTTTGGTTGCATAGGGCTACACTCAAGCATATGGTATACGAATCTTTAGTCAAGTTATAAAGCCAGTTACGATCAGGATTGTTCTATCGCTTGCTATTACTTTTAACTGGGGTATATGTAAGCTTGATGTTCAAAATGCATTCCTCCATCGTGATCTTACTGAAGAGGTCTACATGCGACAACCTCCCGACTTTGTTGATTCGAATTACCCGCATGACGTGTTACGTTTACATAAGGCCATTTATGGACTCAAACAGAGACCACGAGCATGGTTCACAAAATTGAGTAGTTGTCTTATGCAGTGGGAGTTCCTTGATTCCGAATCAGATTATTCCATTTTTATCTATAAAGATTCTAGTTACATTGTGATTTTCTTAATTTATGTTGATGACATATTAGTTATTGGGAATGTCGAGCATCTTAGGTAAAGGTTCATTACTGATTTGGGCAAATTTGGGCAATCACTTTTCTGTAAGGATCTTAGGCCACTCTCATACTTCATTGGTATACAGGCTACTAAAACTACTGACTCTTTGCATTTATGCGAACATAATTAAATATGTCAGAGATCTCCTTCGTCGTGCAAATCTAGTGGACTGCAAGCAAGTTTCCACATTGATGGTTGTTGGTATTTCATTGTCAATGAATGATGGCAAGTTAATGATAACCCAACATATTACCGTAGTTTGGTTGGGACGCTTCAATATTGTACGTTGACACGACCTGACATAAGCTATAGTGTTAACAAACTTTGCTAGTTTCTACATGCTCCTACTACTTCTCATTGGCAAGCAATGAAACATTTACTGCAGTATCTAAAGGGCTCTCCTTCCCACAACATCTCGTTGAAAAGGTCCCCTTCTTTACCTATAATCTTTTATACTGATGCTAATTGGACTAGTTATCCAGATGATCATCCCAAGAAATTGGTCTGTGTCTTACTAGCCCACATCTTCTATTGTGTGACAACATTGGCTATGAATCCTGTTATGCACAACATATAGAGATTGATCACCACTTCATTCGAGAACAGGTTGCTCGAAAACAATTGGTGGCCAAGTATGTGCAATCAGAGGATCAATTAGCATACGTTATGACTAAAGCTCTCCCTTCTCTTCGTTTTTTCAGTCTACGGACCAAGCTCACGGTGGTTTCCACTTCCCGTTCACTTGCGGGAGATGTTAAAGTGTTTGCTTCTTAATCTTGTATTTTCCTTTAGTTATTTCATAGTTATTTTTCTATTATTTACTCTCCTCTAATGTGTTGACACATATATTATTTTTTACCTATTGAGTCCTCTATACTAGTCAATGCACGCTGGTTTTTATTATTCTACTTGTCTCCTCTTTTAGCTTACTGCCATACGATATAGATACATAATAACTCTAACTGAAAATTAGAAAATAATATTATTACAAAAAGAGAATAAACTAACAGAAGTAATTCATAATTTACATAATAACTAATAAATTGGAACTTGTAATAATAATTAAAAAAAAAATCTAATAAGTTCATCTTCAATTCCCATATTGGTTAAATAAGAAAAAAGATCATGGGTATATATATTATGACAATTATCTCCATTGATATATTTTAGATGAAACCAAAAATACAATCGTGAGGCTTATCTCAAACACATCATCTGTTAAGGAATTAGAATTAAACTTACAATTTGATAAATATTATTTTATCATTTAATTTTTGTGGAAAAAAACAAAAGAAGCTTATCTGAAGCCAAGAAATTGAAAATAGTTTCGAGAGAAAAGTGAAAATGTGGAATTGAGAGAAACGACAAGGGGTGGGAAAAAGAGAGAATTACCGTTTTACTTTTGGGGTTAAAATTCAAAAGTTGTATTCTTTTGAGGACCTTTCGTGAAAAGTAGCGAAGTTTGAGCTTGGTGTGGCAAAAGGTAAGCAGGGATAAAGTTGGTATTAAAGGCAAATTTAAGGACTCTTTTGTCTTTTTTCCTTTGTTTTGATGGTGTCAGACTGTCACATACAGAGGGACATTTTTCACATGCTACTGTCCTCACCTTCACTTTTCAGTTTCCACTATCGAGGGCATTTTCGTCAATATTTCAAATTATTTAAATTGAATGTGCCAAGGGCATGCACAATTTGGAATGTTTTCTTTTTTTTTTTCTTTTAAAATTTTGTTTCTTTTTTTAGAAAAAACAAACAGCATAAGTGGAGAATCTCAAACATGACCATGAATAATTTTTTACATCTTTTTTTTTTTTGTTTGTTTTAAACATTGTTGTTAATGTTGTTGAATCTCTTGAAGGGAGTATTATAAAGTTAACTATTAAGCTTTGTCTCCATTTAGCGGTAGAACTTAAAAAAAAGGTTCTAATTGTTAAATTAATTTTTTGTATTCCAATGAGGTAATGTTATTTATTGCCCTGACATGTTAATTGGATTAGACTATTAAGTGAAATTTTAGTACAATGAAGTTAGTGGCAGATCTATAATTTGATGGCAGGAGTCGTGGCAGATCTAAAAATTTTTTTAAGGAGGGCTTCATATTAATTTACAATTGAAGGATATGCTAGTAATTTATTTTTCTAAATTTACTTAGGTAAAATATTTATCAGAACTACTATTACTTTTTGATGACCCATCAATTTTCTTTTATAGTATCTCTCCATTTAGATTCCAAATTAAATCTATAAGAACATTAATAAAAGCTTAAAACATAAAATAAAAATTCATAGTATATAGAAGGTAAAGTTTTAGGTTCATAGTATAAGAATTAAAAGTTTAGACTCTAAGATTTCACTAACTATTTATTTTTAAATAATCTCAAAAAGTCAAACTCAGAATATATAAAGTGTGAAGAGTAAAAAGAAATTTTATCCATCTCTGAATATACATAATAAAAATATACATTAATGGTTGACTTTTTTAGATTTTACAAAAATTGAAATTAAAACTTATATAAAATAAGCACAATTGAATATCGGAAATGATGATTTAAAGAGGAAAAAATATTAGCACAAAAAATTATAAAAAAAATTACCAATATGTAATGGCAATGTATAAATTAAAAACAAAAATAAGTCTCGGAATTGTCAACAATAATTAAACCAAGGTCCACCAACTTATATATTCTCTTCATTTTTCTTATTTAATTGTCAAAAAAAAATTGATATATTTATATAGAAAATTTGTAATTTATCTTTTTTATTTATTTTTTAAAAAATTGACCTAATCAATGATTTAGTTTCTTCTTAAAAATTAAACCGATGAAAATTTGTTTTTTCTTTTAAAAAAAAACTCACGGAAAAAAAATTATGGAAAAAAAATAGAAATTACATGAAAAACAAAACAAAATTAAATAAATTATAAAAAGAAGAGAGAGAAAAGCAAAGGTGGAGGTCCCACTCAATCTTTTACACCGAAGTATCATGCCATCGGAGGAAAGACAAATTTGATAATTATACGTAAATTTAATATACTAATTCTATAGTATTAAATGTCCCAAAAATAGGAGCCACAAATTCATATAAACATCATCAAAATGTATCAATTTTGGATAAAAATGACAATATATAGCAAGTTAACCTTTAACTTTAAAATGGTTGCAAATTTGTTAAAAAAAAGTTATTAACATGTGTATCAAATGAATTATAAAACATATTTTACATTATTTTGGTGTAAAATTGATAGGAAAAAAACATCTCTCTCTTTTAGGAATTTTGTTAATTTCTTATCAAATTATTTAATTATCAATTTTGTGTATTAACTCAACTTAATTTGAGAAGAGTTTTATTTTTGTTAAATTAGTGAGTCTTTTTTTTTAGTTTTTTAAATTATTTTTTAATTATAGGTGAATTACAGAAAATTGAACAGACAGTAAAAATTACAACAATTATCTAAATTTAGGGTTCAATTTATAGAAATTGATACAATTTACCGTAGGAGTAAAAAATGATTTCTTATAAATGGACAACACGTATTTATCCATTATATGAAGGACAATACATATAATACATTATAATTTAAGGGGAGCACATGTTCTTGGCCCTTCGTGAATACGCCCTAAACGTAGCAACAAGCAGCACAAGAGATCAGCAGACTATCTAAATAAGTTTTATACTTAGTACTTCTGTTATCAAAACCAAAATTGAAAGTTTACATCCGTTCAATTGAAGAGATTCAAACTCGTGACGTTTTGATTAGAGATAATAAATGTCAGTTATCACTGAACTAAACTAACTAAACTTATATGGACTCACAATCACGATTGAGATGATAAGCAAATATTAACTAAATTAAATATAAAAAGACATTAATTTTTTTTTATTTATAATGATAGTCGATAGAGTTTCTACAAATTTGTGTCATATTTGATTGAACTACTTGCCACTTTTCTCGGCGCCATGAAGATTACTAAAATAGCCTCCAGGATTGCTTTCAAATCCACCTCGAGAGATATAACTGCTACCTCCACTCCCTGGAGCAACCATCATTCCTGAATTTCCACCGCCACCAACTTTGCTACCTCCTCCGCCGCCACCACCACCGCCACCGCCTCCTCCTCCGCCTTTTCCGCCACCGCCTCCTCCTCCGCCTTTTCCACCGCCGGCCATTAGAATTTGAAAATAGTTGGATGTTTTGATTTCTGAAGTTCAGAAAAATTGCTATGAAAGGAGATGAACACAAGGCTTCAAGTATTTATACAGAAAATATGGCGAAGGAAAACAATTTGTGAGAGGCTGTTTAGTAATTAAGAATTAATACTTTGAAAGTTGAAACTATAGTTACAAATTTATTATTTTGAAATTTCAACTTTCATGGTAAAAAATGGTAATTTTGAGAATATATATGGGGAAGTGGGGAGTATTATATTGCATGCATAATTCATTCATTGGTTGGTTACTTATACAATTAATTAATGAGCCTGCTGTTTTATCAAAAACGAAAAATAGACTGTTGATTACTGATTAAATAAAAAGCACCTATACTAATACTAAGACTAAGAGTTTATATGTTTTCTTATCCAAGAGTTTAAGTGTTGAAATTTCTTGGGCTTTTTTTACAGTAAATAGGCTCAGGATATGAACTCATGACCTATTCGTCAGAGATATGTGAGATTCTTTACGTTTAAAGAATAACTTACAAAGGTTGTCAAATTGTAAATTAAACATAGATTTATTATTTCTTTTAGTAAATGAAATTATGTATTTTTTAGTTGTCTAAAAATTTCCATTTTCTTATATTTTTTAACCATCATATTTACATATAGATTTTTGCAAATCTTTTTAAATAATTAGCTTGTTGCTGAGAAATAATTTGGTATTAAGATCATATTCAAAATTGGTCAAAATAATTCTATTTGTTAAATTCCATGGACAAATATTTTATCTTAATAAAATTTATTTGTTTTTTCATAATATACTTATTATGTAAAATAATACTAACATTGTATTATTTTTTAAAAACTTAATTAAATTTTCAAACTTGTAATAAGGAGAATTTGTATATATTTAATATTTGCATGGATATTTGGTCTTTATCTCTATTAATATTAATTAGAGTTGCTTTTTGCAGTCTCTTTAACATGAATTTCAAATTATCTTAATTAGAGGGCATCTTATATTTTATAATCATAAATATTGTAAATTGATGAAGGAAAATTTTTTAAATCATACTTATTAAATTTATCATTCTATTCTATTTTAAAATAACTTACTAATCATATCATAATTTCCAAATTTTCAGTACCCATCTTTACCAGTTCCAACAAACAGAACAATTGGCCCTTTTAACATTATTTGACATTTAAAAAAAAATTAATTTCTTCTAGCACTATATAGTTAAATTATACATCAAACTATAACTTTAGAAGAACAACTCGATGAATTTAGTCGATCTTTTTTGGAGGATCTTACATAGTTTCACGTCATTCTAATATATTCCATTCTCCATACCATAGAAATGCAAAATTAAAATTTTTCATTCAAATTAATTAATTATTCAAACAATTTTTTTTTTGTTTATAAACCATTGATATTCGTTATGATTGGATTTATATTAGTATTGGATTTCCAATTTGGTATTTGGGTATACAATTATGATTTAAGTTTTATTTGATAGATAATATTATTAGATATTATATGAATTAGATTTATGATTAGGAATTATATATATTATTTGATTTAGATTTTATATTCTTTTTATAATTATAATAAATTTGTAAGTGGGTAGGTTTGTATCAAGATTAAGGAATTAAATTCAATGAAAAATATCTTGTTATTCTCTCTATTTTCTCTCTAGTCTAAAACTTTTCAATATTTGAATGGTACCCATGCCAACAACTTATTAATCGAAAAGGTTAAATTTAGACCATTTTTTACGACAGACGCACACTAGGTTCCTTATTCGCCACTTTGCATTCATAGTTCCTTATTAGCCACTTTGCATTCATGACGAGTTGTCATAACTTTATCGTCTAGATAATTTGTAAAGAGATAACATGAAAAGCTACGAACAATTATAAAAAAAATTGTACGATTGTCATTAAAATAACCCTTTGGATTGTTCTCAAATGATTCACGAGATATAAACATCTCCTCCTTTTCCAGGAGCAACCATCATTCCACTGCCACTTCCTTTGCCTCTACTCCTGCCGCGGCCGCCGCCACCGCCACTCTTGCAGCCGCTGCCATCCATTAGGAATGCAATAAAAGATATTCTGATTTCTGAAGAATATGTAACAGTGAGAATATTGGTACGAAGAAAAAGAACACAAAGCCATGGAGTATTTATACAGAGAGACTGATCAAACAATTAGGCACAAACTGAGGACTTCAAAATTTGAATTATTAATTATATATTTATTAAAATTTTGAAATTTTCAATTTTCATGGAAAATACTATCGCTAATTTGAGAATGTATGGGAAAATGGGTCCCAACAATGCATGCATTTACATTTTATTTTAGTTTCTTTCGGGTAAACATCTTATTTTAAATATTTATTACTAATTAACTACCAAATTATTACTTATTAAATAGATGAATTTTGATCATTTTTAGGTATCTAAAAAAGCCCTTATATATATGCTTTTGTTTTTGGGAATTTGACTCAAATAACCCTCCAAAGCTTCTGAAATGTACAATAACCCACCCCCTCTAATTGAGCCCAAATAACCCACTTTAATATTTTATTGAATTTAAATGGAAGTAAAATTACATTAGTACCCCTCAATTCAAAAAAAGAAACTGTTTCACTTTCTTTCTCATCTCCTCCGTTCGTCTGTGTTCCGTTTTCTTCGTCTTTTCCGTTCGAGGTTCCCTTTCTTCTCCGTCTGAACTTTCTTTCTCCGTTCTCCCATTGCTAATTCGTCTTGTAAGAAAGTTAATTTGGAGATTTAAACTTCGAGGTTAGTTCGATTTCTTAACGTAGTTTAATTGTTGCTTGATTGCGAAGATTAGGGCTTCGTTTTTTATTGCATCTGAGAAGTTAATTGAAGCTTACCGTTGTCAATTTATTGCATCTGAGAAAGTAACCCGAAGTTAATTTTTTTCTTAACATAGTTTAGTTGTTGCTCAATTTCGACTTGGATTTCATTTTTTGGAAACGAAATCTGCTTTCTGTATTTGCTATTGATCTGTTGCTTTCTTTGTGGTTCTTCTGTGTTGTGGTGTGGTAGAATGTCTGTTGAAATGTCGGAGGTTGAGGTGATGGGAGGTTGAAGAAGACTATACTTTGGCCGAAGTGGGAGTAACCTCGTGCGTGTTTTAGGGTTTAGGAGGGTTTTTTGCTATCTGTTTATTTTCTCGGGCTCGACATCGGGCGAGGTTGAGCCTCGAGGTTGAGCATCGAAGTATATGAAAGAGGCTGAACCTCGAAGTTGAGCCTCAAGGTTGAGCCTATTCCAATTACCTCGGGCTCAACCTCGAGGTTGAGCCTCTTTCATATACCTCGATGCTCAACCTCAAGGTTGAGCCTCGAGGTTGAGCATGATTCAATTACCTCGGGCTAAACCTCGCCCGAGGTCGAGCCCGAGAAAATTAATAGAGAGCACAAAAAACCTTGGAATAGCTTTCAAATTTCTGTATATTGTACAATTCTCTTCGTATATTTTAGTGTGTACTTTGTTTGATTTAACTTGAGTGTACATGCTTGTTTGTATTTACTTATAGGAAATGGAAATGGTATCGAAGGTCCCTCCCACGCTGTATGCCTCGTCCCAACTGACCTGTCTATCGCACTTAACGTAGACAGTCGAGGCCATTAAAAAGAAACTTACCCCCCATCAGATGCGTCTATTTAGGAAGACTGTAGTTGGCCATCTGCTTGATGTGGACCTCGTCTTTAACGGACCATTAATCCATAGTTTGCTGCTTAAGAGGTGAATGAGAGTCGCCAGTACACCATTAGCTTAAATTTATTTGGGAGTAAGGTGTCCTTTGGTCGGAGAGAATTCGACATAATTAGTGGACTAAAATATTCGAGATCTCCCGTTAGGAAGAACACCTTTCCCGTTAGGCTTAGGGCTTTGTACTTTGATAATAAAGTTGACCTGAGCTTGGGTGAATTTGAGAAGAAGTACGAAGTTATGCATTTTGAGGATGATTGGGATGAGGTGAAGGTATCAATTGTATACTTAGCTGAATTTGTACTTTACGGCCGGGAGCGAAGCATGAAGTATGACAGTAGTCTGCTTGAAACAGCAGACGATTGGGAACTGTGCTGCAACCATGATTGGGGACAGCTATTGTTCGAGAAGACAATAAGAAGTCTGCAGCGAGCACTAGCGAAGAAGACAAAAGAGGGGAGGTTGAGGAAATCATATAGTCTATACAGTTTCCCGTGGGTATTCTAGATAAATAAATATATGTTAATCTGCACAGTAATTTGGACCTAGTAATTGTTATTAACATTCTTTGAAATTTGTACAGGTGTGGGGGTACGAGATTATATCTTCTATGACTGGACGAGTTACTAGGAAGATTAGTGACGATGTCATCCCCCGTATGCTCCGGTGGAGGTGGGGTCACTCGACAGGATGGGTCGTGCTGGAGAGGGGCATCTTCCAGTCTACAACAGTAAGTGACACCCTTCAATTTTACTTGATTTTGAACTGTATCGTATTAATATCATTTTTTGTGCAGGCCACAATCAGGAGTTTAGAATGGACTGAAGCGGAGAGGACGTTTTTGAACAGGGTATGTGAGCCACCAGCATCAGATGAGGTGGAAATGGATGAAGAAGTCCCCGAACCTTCAGAGACTGCATGCGGGGGTCAAGACAGAATCATTGAACGTCCATCTACCAATGTTGGTGCTCCCACTGATGCCACTATCGATGATACACAGGACGAAGAGGGCACAAAGAAGAAAGATAGAAATAAAAAAAAAAGAGTAACAAGAAAGTGTTCAGGCGACTGCGAAGTTTGGACATGCGTATGGGCGCTATGGAGAAGAGACTAGAAGGTGTGGAGGGTGAGCTGAAATCCATACGTAAGTATTTGAGACGGATTGCCAAGGTATGTTTTTATCAATTAAGTTCGTATTATATTTCGTTTTCACCATCGCCCTCATACAATATGTCATTTTACGTACATGGTCAACCAGTCGACCCGGGCGACATGCGAAGAGGTAAGGGAGGTGACGATGCTGGTGGAGCGGGAAGTGCAGGTGATGAAGAGTATACTCATGGGGATGCAACAGACAGTTATCCTAAAGGTGACGGACGTGGGGATGCAGCGGGCGATGGATGTGGGGATGATGCGTCCGAGGTCCATGACAACGCAATTGTGCAAAATGTCCAGAAGGAACCAGTGGACCCCGATGTAGCAGATGTCGACACTAGTGCAGTTGGCAATGAAAAAGCTATGGACCATGAGGTAGCATACGTCGACACTAGTGCGGTTTGCACCGAACAAGCCGTGGACCCTGAGGTAGGAGATGTGCATCAAGGAATGCCTCCTATTCATCCAAAGGACGTCCAGAGTACGGGCATTGGTACATCGAAGCATATGGGAGCTGTTGAGTCCAATGTCATTTAGTACCAGTCACCGATACAGGTATCTGAACTGTTGCTCACTACCTTATTTTGTTTGGGGTAACTTTGACGTCGTTCTAACGATAACATACTTTCAGGTACAAATTCTTCATGATTCATCAGACACCGACACTGACCTGGATATCGTATCCCAGTCACAAGCGACCAAGGAATCCCAGTCGCAAGCACCCGAGGAAACACAATTGCAAGAGAAATCACAAGGCCAGTCACGTGTGGACGACGACGAGGTACATGTGTTATCGCAGCCAGTCACGCGTCCAAACCCTTGTCGTGGAGAACGAGAAAAGAAAGTGCCATGGAAACTTCGAGGATCGTACGAAGTTAAAGTTGGCGGGAAGCGAAAGAGGGTATTCGAGTACAATCCAGTTCCAGATCTCCAGAGGAGGAAAAATTCAAAAAATGGATTGAAGACTACGCAGAAAACCGTTCGACCCGAAAGACACCTTATGCGTACAGAGGGAAGCAATGGTTTCGTGACCTACTTCAGCCGAACAACTGGTGCACGAATGAGGTAGATATGCTTAGAATGATGTTTGATATTAATTCCTTTTTTTGTTTTGGTGTCTATTTGTTTTAATATGACGGTAATACACGTAGGTTGTTGATTCACTGGTTATGTTCGTACGAAAGAAGCTGGAACAACATCCTGACCTATGTTCTCGTAGGTTCACCATGGGAGACACCATCTTGGCTGTATGTACCACTAAATGCCTAATTTTTTTTGTTACAGTACGTTTTTTATTCGTTTCTCTTGACTAATGACATTCTTATTGAATGTACAGAATTTTTTTCGGCGAAATGACGGCCTATACGAGTTCGTGAAATCAAAAAATTCCCCACCGTTGAGAGTGGCGCAAGAGTACGATTAGGATGGGCGGGAGAGTACCGTCATGTCATATATCGATGGAAGTCATTCGGACTACCCGCTGTGGTGGCGTGAGGTGAAGGCTATCTATTTATCGTACAATGTCAACGACAACCACTAGGTCATGATTTGCATAAATCTCGTTGACGGTGAGATCGTTGTCTGGGACTCCCTGAGGGCAATTACCACGGATGACTCATTGGAGGAGCAGCTGAACGTTATGCGCACAATCAGCCCGCCTTTACTGTATAAATCCTAGGTGATTGCGGTACGTCCAGCCTTACCAATCATACTATGGCGAATCCGTAGGGTTACGTCGACACCGCAGTAGTTTCGTAGTGGAGACTGCGACATTTTTTGTGTTAAGTATTTCGAATATGATGTAACAGGGTCTCGTTTAGATACATTGAGGCAAAATATGATGTCATACTTTAGGAGGCAATTTGCCTTTCAACTATGGGGTAATAAGGCTGTATGGTGATTGAGAAATACAATCCTATTTTTTGGTGCAATCTATTGACTTAAATTATTTTTTTTATATACTTGCTAATAGGTGCTAGTGGATTAAGTTGGTAAATGGTGAATTTAGTTAAGTGAAGTTATTAATGGAGTTTAGGACTTAATTTTCAATATTAGGATCATCTTAATCTTTATTTCGGAAGAACATTGTATTTTACGGCCGAGGTAGGCTGGTTTACACGCGAGGTTATTGTAATAACTGAATAAAAAATACGAACCTCGGGCTCCGCCTCGACCGAGGTCGTGCCCGAGGATTTTGGCAGCACTGAAAAGAACCAACCTAGGGCTCCACCTCGACTGAGGTCGAGCCAGAGAATTATTACAGTATCGAAAAAATAGCATACCTCAGGATCTACCTCGACCGAGGTCGAGCTCGAGAATTTTGACAGTATAAACCTATTATCAATGAATTCAAAAATGAACCTACAAAATACATGTTTCAAATTCCAACAAAACCATAATGTCGGAAAAACGTAGCACAGATTCAAACGAAACAATATCAATCTATTTTGTTTCAGTTGTTCGAAGCGACTGTCTACACGTCTTGCGGTTGTGTCCAACGTTTCCACATCGCCCACATTTGTGTACCTGGCGGACTTCACCGGCTGATGGTATCCTGGCAGTTTGGCGACGTCTAACGCGAGGAATGAATCTGGGTGGCTTAATCGTGTAGGCACATAGTCATCTGGTAAAATCCAATCTTCCTCATCTCCAAGCGGGTACACGGGTTCGGCATAAGCTTGTATGAGGGTATCTATTCGGTACTTATCAGAACATAATGTATGCACACTAATGTTACGAAGCACTACCTCGGTAATGGCGTGAGAGCATGGAATTTCGTAATAGTCAAATTGTTTGCACGTGTAGGTCTTGCTATTAATGTTTACACGTACCTTGGTCGCACCATCATGCACTTCGAATTCGAAACAATGAATCGGCCTGACATGATGATATCGAGCTTGTTCTGCCACTTCTTTAAGAATATTCTCTACATATTCGATGAGAAATGTTCCTCGACTAGACCCGACGGTCCGCTTATCGTAAAACCATTATTGTAGGAGAGCTCGACAATTTTCAAATAGGGCTGTTATTGGTAAAGCACGAGCATGAACGAGTACCGCATTTATGGACTCAGCGAGATTCGAGGTCATTTGGTTATACCTCATTCCAAGTTGATATGCGTTGGCCCACTTGTCGAAGCCGATGTCTTCCAAATATTTGTGTAATCCGGGGAATCCGGCGAATTGGCCCCAATAGTACCGAAACTTTGATATCTTGAACGCCTTGGCTGCTTTAGAGAAAATCCTCCTCATCCCCTCATTTCTAAACTTCTCGGTCAACTTCATTACTACATGATGCATACAGGTAACGTGCGCCGCATCAGGAAACACCGTTGCCACAAAGTTTGTTATAGTTTGATGCCGGTCAGATACTAAAACTAAACCATCAACGTTACCTATACAAATGTTAACTCTTTCCAAAAACCATGTCCACGATTCATCAGACTCCTTATCAACAATCCCGAAAGCTAGAGGGTGAATTTGGTTGTTACCATCTACTGAGGAAGCAGTAAGTAAGACACCCCTGTATTTCCTCTTCAGATGTGCTCCGTCAACCACTAGAACTTGCCGGATGCAACTTCCAAAACCCCTAATCGAGCATCTTAAGGCCATGAATGCGTACTTGAAGTATGTGTCGTCCTCCAACTTTATCTAAAATACAGTTCCTGCATTCACAGCCTTCAAAACCGCTCCATACTTATGCAGAGTAGTATATTACTCTTTAGGCGACCCTATCAATAGGCTCAATGTGACTTCTATCGCCCGCCATGCCTTTTCGTATCGGATATTTACACCGTAGTTCTTTCGCATGTCAGTAATAATATCCTTAGGACGGTAATGACGACTGATGTCCTCGAGATTGGTCTTTATCAGCTGGCTGACCACCCAACTACCGGCTTGCTTATGGTCGTGCCTCAGTGTCTCTCGTTCATGAATGTGGTCATCGAAAAACGTAAAGATGGGGAAGGTATCCGAACCTTTAATTTTCCGTGCACGCAAGACCCATCTACATCCCTCTTCTTTGCATGCAATACTTAACAAACTCCTGGTAGATTTCTTAACCTGAAACTCAAAGTTTTTTTGGATAGCAAAAACAACCAATGTAAAGCGCAATTCATCCTTAGACCGAAAAAGATTGCCAAGTGCAATGTCGTCAACCAAGTCATCGTCACAACCAATCGTATCTATCTGTTCTAAGGATGCATGCACACCCTCGACTGTTGCAGAAGGAGCATTCCTACTAACAGACTGTACTTCAACAACAGGTGTTCTTAAGGATGGATCACCATCACACACTGGTTCCTCCGCTTCATTATCATCCTTGCTCTCAATCTTTTGGTAATCATCGTCATCGAGATCATCCTCGAGGTCATCCCCAACCATATTGTACTCTTGGTCCTCATCATCTCCAACATCATCCCACTGACCGAAGTGTTCATGTTCATTATCACCTAAATTGCATGGGACAACATTGTCCGTCAATGGAGTCATAAGTTTTACGGAAGATGGCAGGTGGACAATACGTATAGGTGAGTGCATATGATTCAGTGGAGCAGGAGAAGGAACATTTTGTTCTACTTGCCATGGAAATGAAGCAAATGTTTCGGTTCGAGGATATAACGGTACATCATGTAAGTTACTACCATTTCCTTGTCTTTCCTTTGGTACAATAGATACATACAAGGGTACTTGAGAGGGATGTGGAGAGCCCATAAGGTAAAAACCAAGGCTAGTATCATTAAATATATAAAAGTTCGACACTTGGTACTGGAACTCAAATTTGTAGATACATTTAGAACAATATTAAAAATGTCGGGATTTATTCTAGTCATCTTAAATATCGCACTTACGAGGTCTCTATATGTTATTCCTTCATCAACATTTAGACCACCCATAACTCCACCTTCGTATACTGTGCCTGCCTCATTCCACTGACCCCCATAACTTACAAAAAGACGAACCATTCTGTTCTGCATTACAGAGCATTGCAAGACAATTAGAGATGAACAATAAAGTTATATATGAACATATACCTTGGGCGGGAACTAGATTTTCTCGCCCGAGGTGAGTTACATCCACAGCCACGAGAGGGGTGAGTTAAATAAAAATTTCATAATGCTAACCTGTGACCTCGGGCGAAAATTCGGTACCCCGCCGAGTTTCATAAAATACATGATTCTTGGCCGGGAATCAAATAACCCCGCGCGAGAATGATTAAAAAACTGGACTACATAATGCAGGACTGCAGAAATGGGTTTCAAAATAAAAAATAAACGTTCCGAAATAAAAAATAGCTTTTCAGATGTAGACATCAAGCAAGGTTTTTGAGAAAATGAGAAAGCATCAAAATGAAAGAACTACCTCTTCCAAAATGTTGAAACTTTCAAAAAGAATATTCACAATGCTTTTCATATTTTTTAGGATTATGCAAAGAGAATGTACATGATAAGGACTTTTATTCTCTCAGATTAGTAATGGCATGTACTGATTGGTTAGATAAAAAACTTAATAGGACTGTACAAAGTTGGTGTGTATTAAATGAACCTCGGGCGGGAATTATATCTGCCCCGGTTGGGAATTATTCCAACGGTGCTTTATTGCATTTAATGGCATTATGGTCATTTCATCTGCTCTGACACATCATCAATGCTTAAAGTAGGTCATTTGGGCACAATTTTGGAGGGTGGGTCATTTGAGCATTCTAAAAACTTTGGAGGGTTATTTGAGTCAAATTCCCTTTGTTTTTGTTATTATAATTTACTCCTGAATTCTGTTAAAATACAAGTTTAGTAATTGAATTATTATTATTATTATTATTTCTATTGGTGAGTTTCTCTATCTGGACCAGCTTACGTGCAATTCAACTATTTTACGGGACAACCGTATGACCTTACTACATCTGAGTTGTCAAGGAAAAGCGTAGGATACTAAATCCTAGGTAGGTAGCTAGAGAATAGATTTTCTACTCAATTTTTTTTGACAAATCCACACTTATTTTGTCTAATTAGTATACTTCATTCTGCTAACATATATATATGTTAGTGTCAAATAATCCCTTGCTAGTCCAATAAAAAATGTTATTGGCATATACAATCAAATTGTAAGAGAAACATAATTGAAACTTTAAAATTCATAGAATAAATTTATAGTTTTAACTCTTTATACTTCATCAACTAATTAATTATGAGTTCAACAAATGTGGAGTGTTACGGGCAAAATTAAACCTATGAATTATACGTATGAGCCACATGAATCAAGATTAGTAATAATGCAGATAAAAAGGTCGAGCCTCGAAGAGCTAAGCCCTCAAACAAAGACCTTAATGATTGGCCCAAGAACCACGAAGGTTGACGCCCAAAGACAGGCCTTGCCCAAGGACAAGGCTCATGGGCTAGTCTAGGGACCGACACCAGTTGAGGCACTCACGCTCTAGCCAAGCAGTCCAGTAGTGCCCTCGAGTTGACCCTCGATTAATGACAAACCAGGCCATAGGATTCAAATCTCAAGATAAAAGAACTCAAAGGAAGAAGATAATGGAGGAGAATTAGGTCTTCTCCTACAATAAAAAGGGAAATATATCACATAACGAGGTATGCAACAAAACTCTACTTCTTGCTACACTTCACATAACCTGTTCTAACTTGAGCATTAGAATGTGTGTGGATAACACCACACTAGTGTGTTAACCTTTCTATTTTGCAGCAGGTTTAATTTAGTCAATTTTTTTTTTTAATAGTAGTGTGAATTTGGTAATTCTAGTAGGCCAAATTTATACATTAACAGAGTCTTGCATCTTTCTACATCTCTAGAGGATCTCTAGTTTACTAAGAATCCCAGTGGGGATTTGTTAACCTTCGACCTAAGAAAATGTAATAGCTAGATATCTAATTATTCATTAAGCTAGGCTCTTATTGTGCAAAGTTTTCTAAAACCATTAAAATTGTTGATGAAGAAATCTGGTTTCCGTGGATCTCGCCAAATTCGCACCAATCTTCTAGACTAAAGGGATCGACGAGACCTGCAAAACAGAATAGCACTAAGACCATTGTGACTCTTGTCACATTGGCTTCGATGCTTAAGTTAGGATGGTGTGGTTGAGTATAGATTCTAGGGTATTGTGAGCACACCTTTAGCGTTTGGCTTACTTCCCTCTAGGGATCGTGGAACTCGAATCCTGATAAATCTAGGAAATCTGGTTATCTGGGCCAACATATCTTGTTATTTGTCTGTCGTTGGATCACGAGTCGAGACGCGATGGGTTCGGGACATGCATCGCAGTCGAGTCAGGTCTTCTGAAGTTCTCGGTCGGGGAGTCGAGAACTGCTCGGCGCCAACCACTAGTCGGTCGGGGGTCGGCTTGGGTCACCAAGCACTGACCTCCTTTCTGGTTCGTGCCTTCTATTGACTCTTCCCCGATCTTCTCCACTTTGCTGGATCTTTTCTTTCTCCCTATAACAATAGCCCCCACTCTCAATGTAGAAGGTAATAAGTATGAGCAAAATGCTAAGACTTCTATATTGAGAGTATTTGACGCTTAGTCATTTCATGGATGACTATTTTTGTGGAATAGCCCTGATACCCTTTTAACGCTGTTGGTTGTCATTTCTACGTGCGGCTGACTTTTGCTGTAGTGCAGTTATCGAATCTCGTCGGTGGAAGAGACCTAGTTGGCAGAAGATGCTTGGTCGGCAGAATAGGTCTGGTTGGTGGAAGAGACCTGGTCAACAGTAGAGACTTGTTCGGCGAAAGATATCTGG